TTGACTTCTTGTTTCTTCGTTCTGTTTCTGTTGGATGTTTCTTTCTTCCTTTTGTTCCAAATCATTGCTTTGAGTCCTGGTTTTCTTCCTGTCTCTGTTGGTTTCCTGAATATTTTTTTTATTTCATTTTGGGCATATTTCATTTGTTCTTTCATTTTTTGACCAAGCTCAATCAGTTCTGTGAGCATTTTGATTAATAGGTCTTTAAATTCTCCATCAGATAGGTTGCCTATGTCCTCATTGCTTAGTTCTATTTCTAAAGTTTTGCTGTGTTCTTTCATTTGGGCCATATTTTTTTGTCTTGGTGAAGCTGATAGGTTGTGAGGGGGCAGGGCCTTAGGTATTCACCTGGGCATGGCAAACCTCCTTGCTGTGTTATGGTGCTGTCTCTGGGGGAAAGGCAAGAGAGGGAACAAGGCAGCTTGCCTGCTCCTACCTAGTGCACTTTCCAAGGGATTCTCCTATGAGATGGGGAATTTCTTCCACCGTGGCAACCACTGTAGTCCACTTTCCCCTTAAGGCAGCCCCACCCATGCAGTCTGCTGCAAGCCATGCGGGCCAGTCCGCAGATTTGTCATGGTTTTTCTCAGCCGACTGGCCTTTTGGTTCATGGTCTGCCACCTTACTGTTCTGGTTGTTCTGATTGATTTTATCTTTAATTCCTTGGTTGAGTTCCATGTAGTTTGATTTTCTGGCACTTCTGGTTGTTTACTGATTTTAGATTGGTTATCATCCTCCTTTTGGTTGTGCAAGGAAGCAAAGGGTTTTTACATATGCGTCCATCTTGGCCAGAACTCTGGATTTTTCATGTCACTTTATATAGCCTTCATTTCTTCCCTTATGTGTTTGCCATACTCAGTTTTTCTGAGTGTGCTTATCACCAGTGTTTTGAACTCTGCATCTGACAGGTTAGCTGTCTCCATTTTGCTTTTTTTTTTTCTGGAATTTTGATCTTTTCTTTCATTTATGCCATATTTCTTTGTCTCCTCAATTTAGCAGCCTTCCTGTGTTTATTCTGTGTATTAGGTAGAGCTGCTTTGACTCTGTCTTGGCTCACCTGTTACATTGTAAGGGGCAGAGCCTTAGGTATTTGCCAGCCGAGGACAACCATCTTCACTGTTTGTATGTTAGGGCACTGTATATAAGGGAGAGGTTAGAGAAGGAACAGTGCCACTTGCTCAGCACTCGCCCCATTTTCAGTCACTTTATCCACTTTCTGTATGTGAGTGAACTCCTCTAGCTGTTGCCCTCGTGGTGGTTTCCAGAGTGGATGGGTTTGTGAATGTTTTAGGACCTTGGGGGTCCTTTAAAGGGAATGTCCTGAGAGCTTGGCAGTTTCTTCCATCATCCCACCTCCTACTGGATTCTACAGCCAGAAGTTTTGAGGCTTTACTCCAGGCACTAGAAATCAGCGTTCTATGGTCTGGCCTTGGGCTGGGATTGCTAATTCCTCAGATATCCCTCCCAGTTCTTTTTATTTGCCACAGATGAGTTTCAGACCACCTGTTTTACCACCACAGCTGCCTTGTCACTGCCACCACACTGCCGTGGCTCCCCGCCTCAACCTTTCCTACCTGTCTGGATTAATATTTCTTCTTTAAATCTTAGTTGTTATACTTCCATACAGTTTGATTTTGTGGCAGTCCTGGTTGTTTTTTATTTTGAGGTTAGTTATGATCGCTTTTATGGTTGTGAGAGGAGGCAAAGTATGTCTACTTACGCCTCCATCTTGGCTAGAATCCTTTTTATACTGTTTTAAAAATGATTGAATATTGAAGAACATCTGTGTATGCAGACTATATTTATTTGTATTTACCATGTTAAAAATTGAGACTGAAGAATTCTTGTTTGTAACATTGTACATTGGTTATGTTGAAAATAATAGTTTATGTAGTTATGCAGGTCTTCCACACATTGGCATATTTTTTATACAATATCGAGCAATCACTTTTTGTCACCATTGATCTAATATGAAAAGTTTTAAGTATTGGGAAGTTGTCAGACTAACAGAGCCAGATAAATGCTTTCCAAATTCTAGTTTTTGTTTAAAAGCTTACATTTTACCACTGACAGCAAATAATGCCACTTGTTTTACTTTGTGGTGACAAGCTCACTGAATATCCAAGTCTGAATAACTTTTTTTTTGGCTGTTGTTTTATGTAAAAACGGAATTATGTGAACATAAATGCATGGCCTTGAGCTAATCATTGCACAGCATCTGCAACAGTATGCACTAGTAGTGCAAATGTCAAGTGAAAAAGACAAATATGAGGCCAAGATGAAGGCATCAGTAGATACACTTTGCCTCCTTGCACAATCAAAAGAAGGACAACAAATTACTTAAAAACCACAAATGAGAACTGCCAGAAAGCCAAATCATATGGAAGTCCAAAACCAAGTGAGTTAAAGAGGAAACATTCAGACTGGCAGGAGAGGTGGAGACAGGCAGCTGGAGGAGAGAGGATGTATGGCAAGGTGGTGGCTGGAGGACTGGGTGGTCCCAAGTTTGCATGCAGATAAACTGGGAGGAACAACTGGGGAGCAAGATAGACCATGCAACCCAGGGTTCCAGCTCAGGAAAAGAAAGCCTCAAAACTTCTGGCTATAAAAACCTGTTTGGGTTGTAGCAGTGGGAGAAACTCCAAGTCTCACAAGACAGTTTGTTGACAGGACCCTCGGTGTCCTAGAGTGTACACAAAGCCACCCACCTGGGAATCAGCACCTGAAGGGTCCAATTTGCTTGAGGGTAGCGGGGAAGTGACTGAAAGTCAGCCAAGAGCCTAGCAAGGGCATTGTTCCCTCTCCTACTCCTCCCCCACATGCAGTGCCACAACCAGGATGTGGATTGCCCTGCCATGGCAGATACCTAAATCTTTGCCGCTTACAACATAATAGGCACACCAAGACAGAAAAAATATGGCCCACATGAAAGAACAGATCATAGCTCCAGAAACAGAACTAAGCAATGAAGAGATAGTCAACCTGTCAGATGCACAGTTCAAAACACTAGTAATCAGGGTGCTCACTGAAATGGTTGAGTATGGTTGCAAAATAGAGGAAAAAGTGAAGGCTATGCAAAGTGAAATAAATAAAAATATACAGGGAACCAACAGTGAAGAGAAGAAAACTGGTACTCAAATCAGTGATTGGCACATAAGGAGGAAATAACATTCAACCAGAGCAGAATGGAGAAACAAGAATTCAAAAACATGAGGAGAGGCTTGGGAACCTCAGGGACACCTGTAAACATTCCAACATCTGAATCATAGGGGTGCCAGAAGGAAAAGAAGAGCAAGAAATTGAAAACTATTTAGAAAAATAATGGAGAATTCCCCCCCATCTGGCAAAGGAAACAGATTTCCAGGAATATCAGAGCGTCCCAAAGAAGTTGGATCCAATGAAGCACACACCAAGGCACATCATAATTATATTACCCAAGATTAAAGATATTGAGAGAATCTTAAAAGCAGCAAAATAAAAGGAGACAGTCACCTACAAAGGAATTCCCATAAGACTATCAGCCGATTTCTCAAAAGAGACCTAGCTGGCAAGAAGGGGCTAGAAAGAAGTATTCAAAGTCATGAGAGGCAAGTGCCTGCATCCAAGATTACTCTATCTAGCAAAGCTATCATTTAGAATGGAAGGGCAGATAAAGTGCTTCCCAGATAAGGTCAAGTTAAAAGAGTTCATCATCACCAAGCCCTTATTATATGAAATGTTAAAGGGACTTATTTGAGAAAAAGAAGATAAAAACTATGAACAGTAAAATGACAACAAACTCACAACTATCAACAACTGAACCTAAAAAATCAAAGGGAAAAACAAACTAAGCAAACAATTAGAACAGGAACAGAATCACAGAAATGGATATCCCATGGAGGGTTATTAGTGTGGAGGAGGAAGGATGAGAATGCGGAAAATGTACAGGAATAAGAAGCACAAATGGTAGGTACACAATACACAGGGAAAGGTTAAGAATAGTATAGGAAATGTAGAAGCCAAAGAACTTAAATGTATGACCCATGGATATGAATTAAGGGGGAAGAATGGTGGTGGGGCAGGTGCAGGGGGATGGGGAGAAGGGAGGAAAAAAGGGATAACTCTAATAGCATAATCAATAAAATATATTTAAAATAAAGACAGACATGACATGTTACTACTACTACAGCTATTATCGTCGTTGTTATTATTATTATTATTAGCTCTCACAGCTTGGGTTCCATGATAGAGTTGTAGATTCCCACAAGGATTACCCTTTGAGATCCATTGTCTTACAATATACACATATGTAATACTTTTGAGTTTAATATACACACACACTCATTATTTTTCTTTCTTACAAGGTATCAGGATGTTATACTATGTTTTATACTTTCTTTGTTGGTATTGTTTACTTTAGAACATATCTGGACATCATTTCTAATAAGTATGGAGAACTCTTCCTCATTCAAGTATGGAGAACTCTTCCTCATTCTTTTCATGATTATGTGGTACTTGATCACGTGGCTCTATCAGTGCATTCTAGTTTTTTCAACTAGTCTCCTCCCAAAGGACTAGTAGGAGATATAAGAAGTACAAGTTACACTCTGAGAATAAATAATATCTGAAGTTTAGCTTATAATCCTTTACAAGACTAACTCTTAAATTTCATATTTGCATTGGCAATGAGCTAACACCTTTCAGGTTATGATTAACATCAGCTAACTTCATACTTTTTTCTTTTATATTTTTGTACTGTGAATATGTTTGTACTGTGACTATATTTGGAATATAGTCATCAATGTATGAATCAAATATGTCTTTTGGTAGTTATTTACTGAGAATCTATTATATGCATTGTAAATGTTAAAGCTTATAATCATATCAAATTTTGTGTGTAAATATTTACAATAATATATAACAAATAGATATAGGAAGTAAAATCTCCCATTAGTCTTTTGTTAATATCTAACATAAAATGCATGTTTATTAAGATATAATGTAAAATAACATTTTTCTAGGCACAATTAAAGATAGAAGATTGTTTCGGCATCACATTTCTGTAGAGCCAATTACCTGTGGACCTTGTTGGTAAGACATGTTTAAATTTTTTTAATTCTATTAACTACAGTGTAGGAAATGTATGGGTGTTTTTACATAAATATTTCTAAATACAATGGCACTAACATGCATACAGTAGTTAATGCTTTCATTTTGAAGGCCTGCATCAGAGTTAAATCATTGTGTGCTTGGGTCATATTGTTCAGTTCTGTCCATATACCAGCTTATTTTTTGTTTAGAATTATAACTTGATAGTTAAACAGATTATATGCCCCTTTTATGACCATGAGGTTTTGAGATTCAGTGGGGTCAAAAAAGTTACTCAAAATCCATTATCAAAAGATAGGATACATGGAAAATATGTTCTCTCTCCTCTAAAATCCTACTGAAATTACTAAGATTTCTTTAAGTGTATAAATCCACAAGGACAATGGTAAGAAGGAACAACAAAATTTTGGAAGCTAGAAGGGCTGAAAGACTTAGAAAGCCCAAATCTGACAATAGAGCCAGTAGAGAAGCTACTCAACTCAATTTAATTTTTTATAAAGAACCTGAAAGAGACTCAGGTTGTCAGCAACATGTACTACAGGTGAAGTAGAAAATAGGAAGATTCATTGAAAATCTGTTTAAGAAACATCCATATCCCTTCTGCCATTGCAGATAGCCAGTTATCCCTCTTCCAGAAGGTTATTCCCTGGAGAAGAGGAATTGGAGGGATTCTGGGAATTCTGAATTGGGGATGGGGTGGTGGGAAGGTACTGAATGCAGAGATTAAGAAAAAATCTCTGTGTCGAATAGTGAGACTCCCTGGCCTCCTTCCCATACTTGGCTTCCATTGCTGGTAGCCAAGCTTCTAGGCAAAAGACTGGAAGGTTTTTTCGGGGCAGGGGGGCAATATGACCAGCTCGGTAGACCAAAGTAAAAATACTGACAGTTGCAACAGCATAGCTGTTACACCAGACAGTGAAGTCAACAACAGACAAGCCCACCAGCACACAGCTTTCAATTGGCTCTTCAGTGCCTCACTCTGAAATAAGAAGAGCTAATCAAGAAATACCTGTCCCTGGAAGAAAGCCTGTATGAAAGACAGTGTCCAAAGCACAAAGGAACGGAGGGAGGGTGAAAAGAAGGGTGGGGAGGATAAGGAATTGAAAGGGTATAGACTGTGCAAGGAGAAGAAAACTTTTTAAAAACTTAACTAATATTCTCAGGAAAGAGTATACTGCATCCTTAAAATATGTACTAAAGAGCTCTTAGAAATTAAAAATATGATAGCACAAATGAATTAGTAGAGGTAACAGAAGATCAAAGTTATGAGTGTTCCCAGAAAGTGGAACAGAAAGATGAAGAGATGAAGAAAGTACTGAAAAGATCATCAGAAAAGTCTGAAATTTTGAAGTTTGAGAAAGAAGGAACAGAAGAAATGAGAGAAATTTTCAAAGAAAGAACTTATTTTATCACTACTAAAGGACATGAGTTTCCTTGGTTAAAAGGGTCCTCAGAATGAGCACATAAATAAAATAACCCACACTAAGGGAAATCCTTGTGAAATTTTTGGACTATAGGTGCAGAGAGGAACCTTAAATTTTTCAGAAGACAAGAAAACAAATCAGGTTTCAAACAACGTTTTAAGAGTCGTATATAAATCATCTCATCATTAACAATGGAAGCTGGAACATTATAGATTCTATGATGTATAAGGCAGAGCAATGCCTTTGAAATTCTGAGAGGAAATTATTTCTACCCCAGTGTCTTAACACTAACCAATTATCAAAGAAGTGTGAGTATAGACTTTTTTCAGGTGCCAATTACCACAAGGTTTATCTCCATAGCATTTACTACCATATGACATGTTTGTCTATTTCCCTCCACAAGAATATAAACTCTGTGATTTTATTTCCTCATTATATCCCCCAGCCAGAACAGCGCCTGGCACATAGTAGGACCTCATTAAATATTTGATGGATAGATGAATGGGTAACTAAATTACTTGAAGTTACTAGGGTAACTTCAAGTTCCATTGGTTTCAAGTTGGGTAAAAGGAAGTATGGGGTTTTCAAAAGATATTGGTTAGGTAGAACATGTATGCTAGAGAAGATGATAAATTTAATTTTGTCCATGTTGAGTTTGAGAAGAGTGTGGAAGAGCAAGGCAGGGCTGTCTGGTGCTTTATGCAGTTCAAAGTATAGGAATAACACTAGGGGACAGTCAGGCGTGAGATGCAGGTTAGTGTTTGTATTGTTAGGTAGATGTTACAGCAGTGGATATGACTGGCCTTGCCCAGGAAAGTGTCTAGGAAAGAAATCCAGCTTTGGAGACAGGAATATTTTTAAGAGTCAAAACGAAAAAACAAGAGGAAAAAGAAAAGAAAAACAAACAAAGGGGCAATGGTGTTGTAGATATTAGTGGTGAGAATTTTAAGAAGAAAAAAGTCAATTATCACAAATCCCAAAGGTCTAGTAGAATGAGTGTACACATGAAGCAATATTTGGAGTTTTTTTGGCATTTGGGAGGTTATTAGTGACTTTATCAAGAAAAGTTTGTACAGTAGTAATAGAAAATAAGAGTTCAATGAATGGAAATTGAGGAAGTGAAAATTGCCAGTTTAGATTACTTATTTAAGAAAGTTGGGGATGAGGGGTATGGAACAGCGACTGTGGTCTTGAAGGGGAGGCAAGGCTGAGGAAAAAGCATTTAAAGAGTGGTCAAGGCTTTCTGGCTAAATGAAAGGGACAGGGACACTAAAAAGAAAAAAGTATCAACAGGTGGTAGAAAGAGAAAGGAAGGAAGTAGAATAGTGACTGAAAGAATGGGGCTCCTGAAAAACCAAGATATTACTTGGGGTCAGAAGTACATATTTTATGGCATTAGCCATGGAAAGAAGATAGGTAACTTTCTCTGGTAAAAGGTGAGTGAGGAGATAGACACAAGGATCCCTGTTTGACAGACTCTTTCATTATGGGAAGTAAGTAGTAAATTCAAAGGCTGGTGTCAGTATGTGAGAAGTTGTGATGGACTTGGAAAATGTGGTTCTGGATGGCAAATGCAAAACAGTTACCAGAATAGTATTACCATACAGCAGTGAGGGTCTCCCCCCAAAAATGCATATCCCATAACTTGTGTGTGTATGTGTGTACTTTTATTGGTAATTAATCAAATGTTTTCTTCCCACTGTAGCACAACTAAGGAAAGGCAAGAAATACAGACTCCAAATTTTACTGAACCTGGTCAGGAACTTCTGTCTAAATCTCATTTTTATGAACAACTGACTTTTGAAAACTCTTCAAGCAATTTATCAGTTTTGGGGGAGCCATTTTGTAAGGTTTCTGCCACAAGAAATAAGAAAAGGAGACACTCAATGACTACAGGCAAACTGACAAGAGTCTTTGTCCCACCTTTTAAAGCTAAATCACATTCTCACAGAGATGATCAGTGTCTTAGCAGCAATACTAATTTGAAGGAAAACAAACAAACACCAAAAAACATAGTTGAACCTGGCTCTGGTAGTAGTAAAAATAATATTAATGACAATGAAATTCATCAGTCTAACAAAGATAACTCCAATCAAGTAGCACCTATAATCTCTGCAAAGTGTGAAGAAAAATCTTTAGGTATTGTGTGAAAATTTGTGTGTTTATATTTTTGCCTTTCAGTTAGATATTTCTTAAATAATGCTTTAAGGATTTCCCCCCATTTGTGATGATTAATAATTTCAAAACTGTCTTTAATGCTAAAGTTTTCCAAGCCCAAAGATTAGGTTTAAATTATTCTAATATTTCCTTTCAAAGGTAATTACTTGTGGACACAAAAACTAGGGCTAGTATTACTGGAATATATTTTTTGATCAGGCTAGTAATTTTCTTCCAAATCTGAAATAAAAATAATAGACTTATTTCTATTCTTTAGTAGTTGAAACTTTTTTAATTCCTGAAAATTTTAAATTAGAGCTAAGTGATATGTATAATTTTATAAAGCAAGGATTGTGCTTTTAAATTTTATATCAATATTATCTTTTACTAATTACTTATTCCTTAATAGATTTAGTTGCAAATCTTCAGAATGCCAGAGATATGCAGAATATGCGGATTAAAAAGAAACATGGACAACGTATTTTTCCACAGCCAGGAAGTCTGTATCTTGCAAAAACATCCTCTATGCCAAGAATCTCTCTGAAAGCAGCAGTAGAAGGCCAAGTTCCTTCTGCATGTTCCCATAAACAGGTATGCTTTGTTAACCACACTAGTAGCTTTCATAGTAATGTATAATTTTATTTTATTAACTAGTGTCTCCAGATTATTTTCTTTTTCTTAAAGATTTTACTATTTTTAGAGAGGAAGGGAGGAAGGAAGAGGGGTAGAGAAACACCAATGTGTGGTTTCCTTTCACATACCCCTTACTGGGGAACTGGCCCACAACCCAGGCATGTGCCCTGACTGGGCATTGAACCAGCAACCCTTTGCTTTCCAGTCTGGTTTTCAATCCACTGAACCACAGGAGCCAGGGCTCCAAATTGTTCTGTTGAAAGAAAGAACCAATTGAACCACGATGAAAGAAATCATGTTTCCTAATCCACCTACAGGGACACCCTTCTTCTCCTTCGGTGCCTTAACCCTACAAAGTGATCTGTGCTCCAGAACTAGTATTTCTCTTCTTTTTTCTTTTTAATATATTTTATTGATTATGCCATTACAGTTGTCCCATTTCCCTCCCTTCATTCCCTCCACCCTGCACACCCCCTCCCCCACCATTTCCACCCCTTCAGTTTATGTCCATGTGTCACAAGTTCTTTAGATTCTATATTTCCCCTACTATTCTTGCCCTCCCCCCTGTCTATTTTCTATCTACTGTCTATGCTACTTATTTTTTTGTACCTTCTCCCCCCTTCTCCTTCTCCCACTCCTCTGTTGCTAACTCTCCATGTGATCTTCATTTCTATGTTTCTACTCCTGATCTAGCTGTCCTCTTAGTTTTCTTTTGTTTTAGGTGTGGTTGTTAATAACTGTGAGTTTGCTGTCCTTCCACTGTTCATCTTTTTTATTTCCTTTTTCTTAGATAAGTCCCTTTAACATTTCATATAATAAGGGCTTGGTGATGATGAACTCCTTGAACTTGACCTTATCTGAGAAGCACTTTATCTGCCCCTCCATTCTAAATGCAGGCTTCACTGGATAGAGCTATCTTGGATGTAGGTCTTTGGATTTCATGACTTGGAATACTTCTTTCCATCCCCTTCTTGCCTGTAAGGTCTCTTTTGAGAAGTCAGCTGACAGTCTGATGGGAAGTCCTTTGTAGTGACTGTTCCCTTATCTCTTGCTGCTTCTAGGATTCTCTCCTTCATTTGAATCTTGGGTAATGTAATGATGATGTGCCTTGGTGTGTTCCTTCTTGGGTCCAACTTCTTTGGGACTCTCTGAGCTTCCTGGATTTCCTGGAAGTCTGTTTCCTTTGCCAGATTGGGGAAGTTCTCCTTTATTGTTTGTTCAAATAAGTTTTCCACTTGTTGCTCTTCCTCTTCCCCTTCTGGTACCCCTATAATTCGGATGTTGGAGCGTTTAAAGATGTCCTGGAGGTTCCTAAGCCTCTCCTCATTTTTTGAATTCTTGTTTCTTCATATTTTTCTGTTTGGTCATTTTTTTCTTCCTTCTGGTCCACTCCCTTGATTTGAGTCTCAGTTTCCTTTCCATCAAATTGGTGCTTTTACACAATACCTGTGCATTTCCCTTCATTTCAATTAGTTTAGTCTTCAATTGTTCCCCTAATTTGTGACTAAAATCAACCAGTTCTCTGAGCATCCTAATCACCAGTGTTTTGAACTGTGCAATTTCTTGGTCGCTTAGATGTATTGGCTCTGGGTATTGGCTCTGGGGCTTTGAGCTCTTCTTGAGCCATGATGATTTGATCTTCGTGCCTGTTACGTATGAGGAGGGGAGCCTTAGGTGTTCACCAGGGCGGGGCCACGCAGGTCACTGGTTATTGATGCTGTATGTGGGGGAGGGGTCAAAGAGGGGCAATAGTAGTCCCCTCTGTTGCTTCCTGCCACTGGGGCCTGCACGGTCTGTCTCACTGCTTGCTCCTTCACTGGTTTATCTGCATGCAAATGTATGACCGCGGTCAGCCTGCCGCCTTGCGCCCTCACTGGGTCCGTCCCTTGCTACCCCACACCTGGGACCTGCCCATGGCGACCCACTCTGCTGCTGGCTCTGCCTCTCTTACCAGTCTGGCTGAATGGTTCCGTTGTTGTTGGACTTGTATAGTTCAATTTTCTGTGGTTTGGCTGTGTTTTTGTTGCTAAAACTTTGTTGTTTTTAAGCTTGGTTGTGTGAGAAGGCACAGTGTTTCCACCTATGCCTCCATCTTGGCGGAAGTCCTCTGAGCTGTTCTTCTTGAGCCATAATGTTTTGGTCTGTTCACACCTGTTACATATGATGGGGTGGATCTTTAGGTGTTCATCAGGGTGGGGCGACCCAGTCAGTGGGTTTTGACGCTGTATGTGGGGGCAGGGTCAGAGAGGGGTAATGGCGTTTGTTCTGCTCTCTCTCGGATTTTGGTCCCCTCTGCTGCTTCCCGAAAGCAAACCTGGCCTCCCTGGTGCTGGCTCCCCGTGTGTTGACCTGTGCACCCTCCAGGACCCTGTGGGTCTCTCCAACGAACTCTCTGTGAGCCTGGAAGCTTCTCCTGGCACCTCAACCCTGAAAGTTTTTCCAATTGGTGCTTTTAGGCTTTAATTCCTGTCGTTGGGGCCCTAACCTTTGTAGTCTGTCTCATTGCTCGCTCCTTTGCATGGTTTATCTGCGCGCAAATGTGTGACCACAGTCAGCCAGCCACCTTGCGCCCTCAGTGGGTCTGCCTGTTACCACCCCATGCCTGGGATCTGCCAACCACCACCTTATGCTCCTGGGTCGGTCTGACCGCTTTTTTCTGTGCGACCCTGCTCCGCCAGCAGCTGACTCCACCCCTTACCAGTCTGGCTGAATGGTTCGTTTTTGTTGGACTTCTGTACAATTCAATTTTCTGTGTTGTGGTTGCGTTTTTGTTACTAAAACTTTGTTGTCTTTAAACTTGGTTGTGCGAGGAGGTACAGTGTTTCTACCGGTGCCTCCATCTTGGCTGGAAGTTCCTCTCTTCTCTTTTTAAAATGCATTTTATTATTATGAGTGCTCTCAGCTAGGGGTTAGAGGAAGGTAGTCTTACTGAATTTAAATTGTGAATAACTCATAGTCCTAAACCCACTAAGAGCTAGCCACATTTTTAAAGGAGGATTCTTATTAAGCCAATACTATCTAGTTAGCATTTTAGGCACCAGAGAAGTGAAAATAATATTGGTAATATTAATAGATAATTTTTTTTTCTTTTTAGTATTTTCTATGTCTGGGCACTTTTCTAAGCTCTGTGCTTGCTGGTTGTTATCTCATTTAACCTTCACAAGTACCTAAAATAAAGTCACCATTTTTTGTTCATCATTTTATAAATGGGAGCACAGAGAAGGTTAAGTAACTGCCCCAAAGTCACATGACTAGCAAGTAGAAGAGCCACAATTCCAAAGCCAAGCGCCTGACTCCAGAGTCAAGTCTGAACAAAGGAAAAGACACTCTGGGGTCAGGCCTCTGGGGTAAAATTAAGTACCTTGGACCTAGGCCAGGCAGTGTAGAAAAATGACCTCCTGAGGTCAGACTCCCTGAAAAACTTACACTTTTTACTGTTCTCTCTCTTCTAAATTTTTGGACTTAAAGTTTTTGTTAAACATTGTTCCTTTTTTTTTTTTATCCCTACAATGACTTCTAATGGCAGATCTATCCAGAGAAGTATATACAAAGGGATATGAAAAAGGTGCAACAGACTCTCTCTAATGCATGGGTTATTTATAGTACATCAGCAGTTTAGCTTCTAGTACATAAGTTAAATGTTTTAATAGTGATTAATATTTAAATGAAAATTTGGGGGTAAATTCAGTTTTGGTTTCTTACAGTTTTTATTGTACAAAACATTCTATTTTATTTGATTTTGGTTTTTATTCATTATCAGATTTTTCTATTATTTCTTTTGTGCAGCTATATATATATGGCATCTCTAAACATTGCATAAAAATTAACAGCAAAACTGCAGAGTCTTTTCAGTTCCACACTCAGGATTATTTTGGTAAAGAAGGTACAGGAGCTGGAGAGGGAGCACAGTTGGCTGATGGTGGATGGCTCATACCCTCCAATGATGGGAAGGCTGGAAAAGAAGAATTTTATAGGTACTGTTTGTAAAAAGAGATTTGTGTTAACTTTTACATACTGTATCATCCCTTTTCCTTACAAAGTCCCTCTTTTTTCTCTTTCCTAATCTATCTTGAACTTTAAAAGTTGTTCAGGAATCAAATTTTTACATACTGAATCATTTTAAAGGCATTATGGTTCATTTTACATTCTGTTGAAATCTTTTTTTTTTTTTTTAATCATCACTCAAGGACATTCCATCTCTAATGATTTAGAGAGGAAAGGAGAAACAGAAATATCACTATGAGAGAGAAACATTGATTGGTCACCTGCTACATACACCTGGACCAGGGATTGAACCCACAATCCAGGCACTTGCCCTGACTGAGAATCAAACCCCCAATTCTTCAGTCACAGGTCAACATTCCGTACAGCTGACCTACACCAGCCAGGGCATGTTAAAATATTTTAAAAAGTAAATTATGCTTTGTCTTAGGATTTAATGAATTGGCTTTTCTTAAATTGGGACACTTTTCTTATGCATTTAAAAATAAAGACTGATAAGAAAAATTAAACTTGAATTGGCCTTATTGTAGACCCCCATATACATACAGTTATGTCATATTCTCTTACTTGTATATTTCAATAAGTATGAAATAGAAATACTAAAAATTAAACATAAGTACCCAAATGTCAGTAAATGCCAAAAGTTAGTGAACACCACTGCCCTCAACATCAACAATTTAGAAACTATATAACTTCCTATGATTCCAATGTTTATATAGCATAATTTAAAGCTTTTGCTCTCAGAGATGTATTACCTCATGCCAGTGACAAGAGATGGGAAGCTTTTCTATAGTGCTCTGATTTTTTAATATCTCTATACCTTTCTAAATTTTAAAGTTTTGGGGAAGTGATAAAACATTTTGTCTTAAATTTTTATTGTGTATTTTGTGTTATTGGAATGTTTGTTACTTACATGTTATTTTAAAAGAATGTTATTTACATCTTGCACCTGCCTCACATAACATATATCTGCTATCGATTCTAGTTGGAAAAGTATGGTAAACAGTTCTAGTATTTTGTTGTGTTAAGTAAACTGCATTGTGTAGAGGTTAAGCGCGATGACCCTGTAATCAGGTGGGCAAGACTCATGATGTTTGAGTGTTGAAACTCAGGTTATTTATGAATCATTCAGTAAATATTTACTTAGCACCTACAGTATGCCAGATACTATCCTATTAGGAATACAACAACAAAATAATCTTTTCTAAAAGTCAAACATTCCAGTAGAGCAGTCTTGAGTGGGGAAAGAAACTTTTTTTAAAAAGTAAATTGGAGGCCCTGGCTGGTGTAGCTCAGTGGATTGAGCGCGGGCCTGCGAACCAGAGGATTGCGGTTCAATTCCCAGTCAGGGCACATGCCTGGGTTGCAGGCCGGTTCCCTGCAGGCCAGTTCCCAGCAGGGGACACACGAAAGGCAACCATACATTGATGTTTCTCTCCCTCTCTCCTTCTCCTCTAAAGATAAATAAATAAATAAAATATTTTTTAAAAAAAAAAAAGTAAATTGGCCCTGGCCTGGGGCTTAGTTTGTTGGAGCAAGGTCCTGAGAACCCAAATGGTTGAGTGTTCCATCCCCCACCAGGGCACATAATGAAGTTGTGAGTTTCATCCCCAGTCAGATGCTTATGGGAGGCAGTCAATCAATGTTTCTCACAGTAATTTCTCTCTGTCTCTCTCATCTTTCTAAAATTGATGAAAAAAATATATCCTCTGGTGAAGGTTAAAAAAATAAGCAAATTGTATAGTATATTAGAATGTAATAAATACTATGAAGATAAAGCTGGAAAGTGGGGTTAGGGAGAGTTAGGTGAGGAGAGGTACAGTTTTTTAAGTAGAATAAGTGTCAGGAGGCTTCGGGTCTGTGACATTCTTATCAGTGACCTGAAGGAGGTCAAGGGAATGAGCATAGGACAGTGTGGGGACAGCATCCAGATTCTATAGGGCAGCATACAATAGGAGGAACATTAGTATAGCTGGAGTAGACTGGGTAGCAGGGGCTGTGGTAGATGAGATAGAAGGGTAGGACCTTATAGAACTTTGTAAGAACATTGGCTTTTACAATGTTCTTACAATGTAAGAACAAATGGCTGAGTAATCATTTTCACTTAGAATGTTTAAAGCAGAAGGTGACATGATCTAGCTTGTTTTTTGAAAGAATGACTCTGGCTACTTCTTAGGATCAGAAAGTAGGGAAGGGCAGGGGTGGAGACAGAGAGACTACATAGGAAGCTTTTGCACTAATCCTGGTGAGAAATATTTGCTTTGGCCAGGGAGGTACAATTGAGTTAGTAAAAAGCAATTGGATTCTGGCTATATTTTGAGGGATTGAAGGTTTGCTTCAATCCCTGAAGCAAATGCTCAAGGATTGGATAAGGAGTGTGAGATAAAGAGGGGAGTAAAGATAGCTTTAAAAGATTTTGGCAGTAGTTGGAAGGGTAGTTACCATGTACATAATATTGAGAAGACCAAGGATGGAAGGGAAATTGAGAGTTCAGTTTGGGACATTTGAAGTTAAGGTTACCAGTAGACATGCAGGGAGAGATGTTGAATAGGCAGTTGGAATTCATAAAGTATAGGTCAAAGAAATCAATTGGTGAGTGGTCAGGATATAGATGTAATTTAAAGCTATGAAAAAGAGATTTAGAAAGAGCAACCACAAGTTAAAAATAAATGCCAAAGAGTGTGGTGTTGCAAGCCAAGTGAAGATGGAACTTTGGGGAATAGAGAATAACCAGCTATATCAGTGCTGCTAGTAGATAAAGTAAAATGGGGACTGAGAATTGACAGCTGGGTTTAGCAACATTGGGGTCATCACTAATCTTAATAAAATAATACAGTAAGTAGTTTGGTGGAGCAAAAGCCTAATCAGAATGCAATAAAAAGGGCAGTGGAGGTAGAGGAGTTGGAGAGAGAGAGAATGTAGTCATCCTTTCAGACATTGCCTACCAGAGAAGCAGAGAAAACGGGCAGTATCGGAAGAAGGAAGTAGGATCAGAGGGTGTCGGGTTTTGTTGTGTTTATTTGTTTTAAGGTAGAAACAGATTTTTTTTATTTTTTTTTTTGCTGGAAATCATCCAGTAGAGAGGAGTGAAATTGATGACGCAAGGGAGAAGGAGGCATTTCTAGGTCGGTGTCCTTGACTAGGCAAGAAAGGTTGGGAGCTTGGGTACAAATGGCAGGAGAGGACAAAGTGAAGGGTACAGATGCTAGTGGGTTGGTATATGTGAGGGTGGAAGTTTAAGGAAGTTCTCTTTTGATTATTTCTGCCCACTTAGTACTACGAGTAAGAATGGGGAAGGAAGAAGAGTTTGCAATTTGAGTAGAGGGGGGAGCACCAGGACTAGAGGGGAAGTTCTTATGTGATTTCTAAACAGTCTCTTTAAGATGAAAAGTAATCACGAATATAAGTATTTGAAATTAAGGATCTCATTTTCCAGTTGAAATAATTGTTTTGACTAATATGTTAAGTGGATTTGTATTATATTTTGACAAGTCATATCATTTTGTAAAATAACATTACTTATTGATTGTACATTAACTCAGAAATTTATTGAATATTCTTGTATAGTATACATTTTTGCAAAGAATAGTCATGTTTACTGAATTTAATATTATCTTACATGTTTTTTACTATATTATTGCACTTTGTTCAGGGCTCTGTGTGACACCCCAGGTGTGGATCCAAAGCTTATTTCTAGAGCTTGGGTCTATAATCACTATAGATGGATTGTATGGAAACTGGCAGCTATGGAATTTGCCTTTCCTAAGCAATTTGCTACTAGATGCTTAAACCCAGAAAGGGTGCTTCTTCAGCTAAAATACAGGTAAGTTTAAAGCATTCCATTATGTGCTCATATGCTGCAGTATGATTCAGACTTCTGTGCAGTCTGTGACTTCATGCCATAAAGGTACACAAGCCAGTGGGTAGTGAACTTGCCATCCCACACTGGTGTTCATTTGTACAGAGTAGTTCTCTTGTCGTCTCCCTGGCCCCACCTAAGGGAAATTACACATTCATACACCTTTTACTTCCCTCTTCCCCCACCCCCTCCTTAACTTCTTGGCATATGAGAAGGATATGAATTTCCAATTTGATCCACTGTTTGCAAATTGCTAATAAAACATTTTTGCATTTTGGGGGTTTTAACATTTAACTGATATTTTAACAGTATAAAATTTAATATACTGCTAGCTACTAAATTTTAAATTCTCTTCTATCTCAGTATTTCTTCAGTAAAGGTACTACATTTTTATTGTCAATTATTAGATGACTGTTTTTACATTGAAATTGTAGACTCACAACTTCTAAAATAATGCATTTTTCTTTTTAGATATGATGTGGAAATTGATAAAAGTCAAAGATCAGCTATTAAAAAGATAATGGAAAGGGATGACACAGCTGCAAAAACCCTTGTTTTCTGTGTTTCTGAAATACTTTTACCAAGCTCAAGTTTACCTGAAACTTCTAGCAGTAAAGCTAGTGATGTGGATATCAGCAAAGCAGCCACTGTGGAACTGACAGATGGATGGTACGCTGTGAAGGCCCAGCTGGACCCCCCTCTCTTGGCTCTCGTACAGAAAGGTAGATGGGCAGTCGGTCAGAAGATCATCACTCATGGAGCAGAACTGGTAGGCTCTCCTGATGCCTGTTCACCTCTTGAAGCCCCCGAATCTCTTAGATTAAAGGTATGTTAGATTAATGCACTCTCTTAATAAAAATCAGTCACTGATTCAGTTAAATTTTAGAAAGGCATTACATCTAAAATTTTAAATATGACTTATGCCTGTTCCTTAACAGGCATAAGTTTATTCTGGGTTTTTTTTTTAGTGTACTCTAATCTCAGTATAAGCAGCAGTTTCCTCAGACATACTTCTCAGAATGTATATCCGTCATTAAGCTGCATGTGACTATATAAGGCTCATGACCCCCCCGAAAAAGTAGTCACTGATGCAACCCTCCCTGACCTCTCCATTCAGGGCCTACAGAGGCAACCACTGAAAATCCCCTTGGCTCTTTCTTGGCTTATATGCTGTGTCTTCTTCTCTCCTTCAGTTTAGACATTGACTTATATTAGCTCCCTGCTGTGAAAGAGGGCTGAAACATATAGTCAATGTTTACATTATAATGACTATGAAAAATATTTTTTGCAACTCAGCATACCATATATATATGATTACATCTCCTTTTTAACAACTTACTGCTTTCCCTAGAGTTACTGTGTTGCCTTTTCTTTTCCCTTTTTAGTTTTCTGTGTCCTTACCACCGACTTAGGAGTTACATAAAACTCATCTCAGTGTTTTAAAATAACCTTTTTTGGATCCATTTCTTTTTCTTGGAGATCCTTGCCCCTCTCCATATTCTTGCTTTATTATTATAAAGTGGTGATTTTCTATATAAGCTACATAGGTATCCTGGACAGTATTTTCACCCCTTTCTGTGTCAGTAGAATTTTCTGCATTTCATATCTTTCTAGATTTTTTAGTTTCGAGGGCACACAACCTCCAGAGGCTTCTTGAGAGAGGGAGTATGCAGCTGCTTTAATCACATTGTAAGGTTGACCAAATGTAGACTTTGAGGTTCAAATAATTTATTTAGAATTTTGAAGATATTTCATCTGTTCACTTGTTACTTCTAGTTGTAGCTTCTACTGCATTCATGCTATTCTTATTCTTAGCTGTTCACTAAGGGATCTTTTTCCAAGACATTTTCAACATCATATGTCTCTAGTATTCTGAAATTTCATAATAATGTACTTTGGTGTCAGCCTTACTTTTTAATCATTGTCCTGGCTACACGGTGGCAATTAATCTATAAACATATGTCCTTCATTGAGTTCTAGGAAAGTTCCTTGAAATAGGTCTTTGATCATTTCTTCCCTTACATTTTTCAAAATTCTGAATATTTAGGTACTAGGCCTCTTAGATTGGTCCTCTAATTTTCTTGTTTTTTTCCTCCTATCTTCCATTTTGTTGTTTTCTCCCCACCAATTTCTAGTTCTTAATTTTTCCTTTTAATCCCTAAAGTGAATCTGTGCCTGTTGGCATAATGTTTAATTTTCAAGAGACCATTATTATTTCTTAATTTTTTTCTTTTTTATGACATCTGGTTCTTGTTACATGCATATAGCATCTTCTCATCTTTCTGAAGCAATTGATTAATATTTTGATGTATTTTTGTTTTTTATGCTCCATGTGTTGTTTTTTTTTTGTATGAGAACCTCCTTTATTGTTTGGATCTCAAGTTGGATACTTTCCTCAACTGATTATTGATAGTTGTTCTTTCCTCTTCAAGAGTGGGGCACTAATGAGCTGATTAGAAGCTCTGTGTGAGGTGGGGCTTGTCAACCTGTCTGTTGGGTGGTAAGACAGGGATTCGATTTTTTTTTTTCATTAGGAAACCCTCAAACATCAGTGACTGTTCTGAAAGCTAAACAGAGTAAGGGAACTAAAGGGGGATTTTTTTGTAGCATAAGGGTTTTTGTTGCTTTTTTGTTTTCAATATAGCATCTCATTTGCACCCTAGCTACATCTGCCTGGTGGTCCAGAGTCCAGGATATGTATGGCTCAGTCTCTTCAGAAAGTAAATGCTCCTGGGTTCTTTTTGAGCCCAGAAGAGGGAAGAACAGCTACCAGGTTGCTTGGTAACTGAGGTTTTAATTAACTTCCTCCTGTTTTCAGCTCCTGCCTGCAGAGGTACCTATTGCCTTCAGTTTTCTTAAATTATTTTGTTTCACATTGGCTTCATAACAACAAGTTTGCTAGCTGAATAACCTTGGGTAGATTATGTAATTTCTCTTATGCTTAAGTTTTGTTACCCATAAAAAGGGAATAAGTCTTAGAGTTGTTGTGAAGATTAGATGTAAATATATGTAAAGTAGTAACACTGTACCAGGCACCACAGTAAGTACTCTATGAATGTTTGCTATTTTTATTAACTGGAATTATTCTTGAGCTGTTTTATTATGTACCACTTGTCTAACAAATGATTAACTTCCAAAATTTTGGTAATTATCTCATCTACTGTCTTCTCCAGTTCTTTGTTCTTATAGGTTTTTTTTTGTTGTTTTTTTGAGGAAGCCCAGGTAAATAAGTATATTTCAACCCATCATGTTTAAATTGAATTCTGTTTTATTAATTTTCTAATACAGGCATACTTCTGAGATATTGTGGGTTCGGTTCCAGACCACCATGATATAACACATATCTCAATAACATGAGTCACATGTATATTTTGGTTCCCCATTGCATGTAAAAGTTGTTTACTTGTAGTCTAGTGATTTTCAACCTTTTTTATCTCATGGTACACATAAAGTAATTACTAAAATTCTGTAGCACACCAAGAAACTTACACTTTTTGTCAATCTAACTAAAAAAGGTATAATTTTTTTATTTTGATCCTCATCCGAGGACATTTTTTTTTTTTTTTTGGTTGCTTTTAGAGAGAAGGGAAGGGAGAGGGGAAGAGAGGGAGAGAAACATCAATGCAAAGCATTGATCTGTTGCCTCCTGCATGCACCCAGACTGGGGATCAAACCCACAACCTAGGAATGTGTCCTGACCAGGAGTCGAACCCTCAACCTTTTAGTTATTAGGATGATAACTCCAACTGACTGGGCCACACCAGCCAGGGCGAAATAGGTATAATTTTGATTCATTCACATCAGATGGCTATTGTTATGTTAGCTATTATCATTTTTTTGATTTGACAGTCTAAGAGAAAAGTCAGTGCCTTTTTCTACATAGTCAGGTATTGCATGTTTTAAAAATACTTGCGGCACACCACTGTGCCTCTCGTGGCTGTGGCACCAATTGAAAATTGCTGCTGTAGTGTATTAAGTTTGCAATAGCATTGTGTCTAAAAAAGCAATGTGCATACCTTAATTAAAAAATACTTCATGTCCTAAAAACGCTGACCATCATCTGAAGCTTCAACAAGTCTTTTTACTGGTGGAGGGTCTCGCCTCAACACTGATGGCTGCTGATTGATCAGGTGGTTCTTGCTGAAGGCTGAGGTGGCTGTGACAAATTTCTTAAAATGAGACAACAGTGACATTTACTGCATGGATGGACTCTTCCTTTCACAAACAATTTCTCAAAGATCACTGATCACAGATCACCATACCATAATAAAAATGAAAAAGATTTCTTTGAAATACTGTGAGAATTACCAAAATGTGACAAAGTCACATTTGATGCTGGAAAAATTGTGCCGATAAACTTATTTGATGCAGGGTTGCCACCAGGCTTCAGTTTATAAAATACACACAATATCTGTGAAGTATAATAAAGCATACTGCAATGAAACAAGGTATACCTATAGTCATATTTACATGACATTAAGACTTTAGAGCAGTATGAACGTTTTTTTAAACAGCTTTATTGAGACAATTCCCACACCATGCAATTCACCCAATGAAAGTGATGATAATTCCATGGTCACAGAGTTGCACAGCCATCACCACAATGACGTTTAGAGTGTTTTCACCACCAGCCCACTGTTTGTTGGCAGCACCAATCTTCCTCAGCTTTTAGATGCCCACAGGTTTTCCTCAACCTAAAAAGGAAAAAGAGCCTCCCTTAACCCTGCTCTGCACTCTCTGGCCATTGTACAATAGAGTTCCCTCTTTCTACATTTCAGTCTCTTTTAAAAAAATTTTTTTTAACAACTTGAAAATTATAGTTGACATTCAATGCTGTATTAGTGTCAGGTGTACAGCATTGTGGTTAGTTTGTACGCTTCACACAGTGGTCTCCCCAATATTTCCAGTACCTACCTGGTACCATATATAGTTGTTACAATATTATTGACTATATTCCCTATCCTGTACTTCCCACTTTCATGACTATTTTGTAACTGCCACATTATATTATACCTCTTAATCCCTTCCCCTTTTTCACCAAGAACCCTAGCCCACCTCTTCTCTGGTGACCTTCAGTTTGCTCTCTGCATCTGAGTCTGTTTCTTGAATAATTTTTAAGATACTATATTTTTTAAAGAAGTCCTAAAAGAATGAAACCTTATGAAGTCTGAAATAGAATTGAATAAATTTACTGAATTTATAAATTGATATATTCCTTAATTTATTCAGATTTCTGCTAACAGTACCCGGCCTGCTTGCTGGTATGCCAAGCTTGGATTCTCTCCGGACCCTAGACCTTTTCCTCTGCCTTTGTCATCACTTTTCAGTGATGGGGGAAATGTTGGTTGTGTTGATGTAGTTATTCAAAGAGTATACCCTATGCAGGTATGACTTATTCTTGAAACTTACTCTGTATTTCTCTCTTTTGAGACAATTAATTTGAATGATTCCTTCTTATGTGTGATGCATTATTACAGTGGATGGAGAAGACATCATCTGGATTATACATATTTCGCAATGAAAGAGAAGAAGAAAAGGAAGCAGCAAAATATGTGGAGACACAACAAAGGAAACTAGAATGCTTATTCACTAAAATTCAAGCAGAATTTGAAGAGCATGAAGGTAAAATGAGTTGTACATTACAAGTTTATTTATATGAAAACAAGTTTTTTTTTTAATTAGAGGTCTCGGAGGCTTCTAATTTAAATTTTGTAATCAGGTAAATTGTCTTTAAGTTATAGATTTTTTTCTGATTCTGAATCAATTATTTATTTTTAATATATTTTATTGACTGTGCTATTACAGTTGTCCCATTTTTTTAACCTCCCCTATCTATTTTGGACTTACCATTTATGCTTCTTATTCTCTGTACCTTTTTCCCCCCCATTCACCCCCCTCCTCCTCCCCACTAATAACCATCTATATGATCTCCATTTCTATGATTTTGTTCCTGTTCTAGCTGTTTGGTTAGTTTGTTTATGCTGTTGGGTGTTTTTAGGATCAGTTGCATTTTACTGTTCTACTTCTGATCATCTATTTCTTAGATAAGTCCCTTTAACATTTCATGTAATAAGGACTTGGTAATGATGAACTTCTTTAACTTTACCTTATCTGGGGAGGATTTTATTTGCCCTCCCATTCTAAATAATAGCTTTGCTGGATAGAGCAATCTTGGATGTAGGTCCTTGCCTCTCATGACTTAGAATAGTTTCCAGCCCCTTCCTGACTATAAGATTTCTTTTGAGAAATCAGCTGAGAGTCTTACGGGAACTCCTTGGTAGGTAACTGTCTCCTTTTCTCTTGCTGCTTTTAAGATTCTCTCATCTTTAATCTTGGGTAATGTAATTATGATGTGCCTTGGTGTCTGCTTCCTTGAGTCCAACTTCTTTGGGACTCTCTGAGCTTCCTGGACTTCCTGGAAGTCTAGTTCCTTTGCCAGATTGGGGAAGTTCTCCTTTATTGTTTGTTCAAATAAGTTTTCAATTTCTTGCTCTTCTTCTTGGCCCTCTGGCACCTCTATGATTTGGATGTTAAAATGTTTAAAGGGGTTCCAGAGGTTCCTAAGCTATGCCTCATGTTTTTAAATTCTTGTTCCTTCATTCTGTTCTGGTTGAATGTTTACTTCTTGCTTCTCCAAATCATTGATTTGAGTCCCAGCTTCCTTCTACCACTGTTGGTTCTCTGTATATTTTTCTTTATTTCACTTTGTATCACCTTCACTTTTTCATCTATTTTGTGACCATACTTATTTGTGTTGTTTTTTTTATTATACCCTTATTTGTGTGTTTTTTCCTTGGTTATCTTGTTGTCAGGGTTGTTAACTTTGTGGATTAGCTAATTAATAATGCTGTTTTCCCTAGAAAATGTAACAAAACAATGTACACCGTCATGTGCATTAACCAGACAGCAAGTGTGTGCTCTGCAGGATGGTGCTGAGCTCTATGAAGCAGTAAGGACTGCGCCAGACCCTAGTTACCTTGAGGTGAGAGAAGAAGAAGGCATGTTATAGGCCTTCTCTGGCTGTCATGGGAAGCAGTATGTTGAAATGCTGTTTCTCAGAGGCGGGTGTTTGCATTTCTGGGATTTATAGTGATGAGCTAGACATGGTGGTATAGTTATTGTTCTGTATCAAATAAAGGATAGGTAGGAGCATTAAGTAATTTTATATATCAAATAAATGTGGTTTAAAATACAGACAAAACGTGGTTACTTTTGAAATAAAACAAGTGTCTTCAGAGCAGTATCTTAGTTTCCATGTTCTCAGCTCTTTCTCAGATCCTACCCAGAGACTATTTCATGATCTTTACCTGAAAGGGACTTAAATAGACAAGTGCAGAAGAATTAAACTGTATTAGAAATAGTATAGGCTTTAGAATCATGCCTCTGCCTTTTACTAGCAAAGCAAATTGGACATAAAATAGCTTTAAAATGGGCATAAAATAAGTTGTTCTAGGATCAAATTACATAATATATGTAAAAGAATACTGTTAATAAAGTTTCTTGTAAATGTTAGTTTCTGTTGTTAGAACATCATTTTATATATTTAAGGTAAACTGCCTCCTAAATTTGTAGACACTCAAGTATCTAATTAATGCCTGGATTGGTTTGCTAGATAGGGAGGGGGTGAGAAATTTTAGGAATACTTTTTTTTGATTACTGATAATTCTCATTAATTTGGTGACAATAAATATTGTATATAGCCTTAAGTTTTTAAAAATAAATGAGACTACAAGAAAATAAATAAACAGTTCTCTACTAGGAGGCTAAGCAATGCTGTTCTGAATAGAATTCCCTCATATTCCAACATGATACAACTCAGATTCTCTCTGTGAAATTTGAGTCCGGTTTGAAAGCCTGTGAGTGCACTTGCTACAAGTCTGTAAGTTAAGGCTTTATTTTGCTTTCTTGAAACATCATTTGCTTCTATAGCTTATATTATTACATATGTTGAAGCTTGGGCTTTCTCTGAGTCATCATGAGGATAGTTTTGACTTCATTTGCAAAGTTTAATGAAATATTTATTGGTCTGGTATCTTTTTATATAATTTATTATAAGGAGGAAGTAATGAGAATGAGAGTTGGAGTACTAAATTCTAGACATGGTCCTCCCACTTTGTATCTGGACAAGTAATTTATCTCTTAGGCTTTCTGTCTACCTTCTATCAAAGGAAGGTCTGAGAGGAGCTAATCTCTATGGTTCTGAGTTTCTGTGATGCTGAGATCTCACTTGGGTACAAGTATTGCTATAATTCTTGGAAAAATAACCATCAATTTCTGAAACACTCTGTCAAAAGGATTTGTTTTCAGTGACAATGCTGAATGTTGTGGGACTTTGGAAATCATAGATTTCTTTTTAATTCTTGTTTAAACACTGTCAGCATTTTTAGCCCTTTTCAGAGTACATAGTTCAAGTCTCCCTGCCCCATGTAGATTATGAGATTAAGATTTGTAAGGCAGCCGCATTGTAGTGTGTTATTTGTCAGATTCCATTTCCTATTTTATTTTATTTTATTTTACTTTTATATTTTGTATTTTTTTAATTTTTATTTTTTTGTTCATTCATTCATTCTTGTTACACTGGTTGAAATTCCCAAGAAATAAAGACAGCAGGTTGGTGAAGTGATTGAGAAAAGTATGGAGGAAACAAGAAGTGCTGTAGCATGTGTCTAGTTTTTGGTTTTGGGTTTTTTGTTGTTGTTTTAGAGAGAAAGAGAAACCGATTTGTTGTTCCACTTATTTATGCATTTATTGGTTGATTCTCATTGTGCTCTGATCAGAGATCAAAGCTACAACCTTGGCATATCAGGATGATGCTCTCTCTGACTGACTGAGCAGCCCGGCCGGGGCTAGCGCGTGTCTGTTTAAAGTGTATCAGCTCTTCCAGAGAGTTCATGAAATTACACTATGGGGGCTAAGAATGAGGGTTCTTGAGCGAACCGTACCTATGTGCCTCCGCAGTTATTTATTCCCTTTCACCTCAGTTTCATCATCTACAACGTGGAAACAATAAGAATACCTATCTCATAGGGTTATTATACAAATTAAGTGAATTAACAAATTTCCCACTTATAGATTCATTTCTCAGAGTGAACTTTCACATTACCCATTTAGAATGTCATTGATGTTGATATATGTGATTATTAGAGTACATTTATACTCTAATTGTACTGCAATTGTACAATTGCAGGGATTGTTTTGTCCCTAAGGAAGTTGATCAGAAAGGTTAGTAAACAGTTTAAGATACAGAACATATTTGTTATGTGATAAGCTAAGTACATTAATCTCAATTTTTGTATTGTCACACCCTTAAAATGAACTCAACTCTGTCGTGTTTTACCCCCAGTTAAAGGGATTCAGTTACAATAGATGAGGTGTTTGTTTTTGTTTTGTTTGCTTTTTATTCCAGCCTTAAATGTTTTCATATGTTAAATGCTCACAGGCTTATTTTAGTGAAGAACAGTTACGAGCCTTGAATAATCATAGACAGATGTTGAATGACAGGAAGCAAGCACAGATCCAGTTGGAATTCCAGAAGGCTATAAAGTCTGCTGAGAAAGGGGAGCAAATGTTATCAAGGGATGTTACAACTGTGTGGAAGTTGCGTATCATAAGCCATGAGAAAAAAGAAAAAGATTCAGGTCAGTATGTAAATTTTTTTGTTTCTAATGATTTTAAGTATTATATTAATAAAATGATTAAGTGCTAGATGAAGTGTAAAGTTAGTGCATATCAGAGGAGCAAAGTCTAAACAAGGTTACATATGACCCAAAGCTTTTATGAATTTCTCTACCTGACAGTGATCTCCAAGGATGCCAGCAAGGCTCCAAACTTGGCTTCCCCTCATTTGGAAACACTTCATCCCTCCCTGAGAATCTGGGAAGGAAAGTTTGCAGAAACAAATGCTGAACCGGCAGTGTTGTGATTTGTGGTGGAACCAGGTTCTGGAGCTAATTGGTGAAGGGTGGGGAGCTCTCAAAGGAGCTGTGGCCTCCAGACCCACCGACTGAAATTACTGCATGGTCAGCCGGCTCTTCTCCCTTCCATTCCCTAGCTTTACCCTTCTTTTTTTCATTCTTGGCTCTTTCCTGCCTCTGTCTCTTCTTGGCTGTTTTTTCCAGCCTCACACTTCTGTTTTCATGTCCTCCAAACTGGCCCCCAAGAGATAGCTGTGGTTTTCAGTCCTTTGTAACCACTGAAAGTTCCAAAATATCAAAATCAAACAGATACTTACCACTTGGAGATGAACATTTTTAGTAGCCATGCAGTCCTTTAGAACTTGTGACCAAATTTTTCTGCCAAGTAGAGGAGAAGGAACCTACATCTACCAGATCCCATCCTAAGGCAGCCCCTGGGTTGGAGCAGAATCCATCAGGACAAAGGGAGCGCCATGGGTCTCACCTGTGCCCTCAGAGGAGACTGGGTCTTCCAGGTCTCCACAGATGCTGGAATCTGGTCCAGATTCCTCTTTCAGGCTAACCCTGGGACCAGAGAAGGAGACTTGCTGGAGTCAGGTTACCAAATTTATCTTGACAGTCGCTTTAATGTTTAATGAAAACTAAGGACTAGCAATTCTAAATAAAATGTTCTCCTGGTTGGTCCATTGGGAAGAGACCAAATCTATTTGGGATCAACAACAGAGAAGGGCTTTAGCTGCCTCCCTCCCCTTCCCATTCACCTGCTAGGATCACTGGCTTTTCCTGCCCTGGGGTAAAATTTGTTTTGTTTTCTCCCAGTTCAGAAATCTGGAAGGTACTGGCTGGGTTCTCTGCTTAGTGCCTTGTAAGGCTGAAATCCAGGTTTCAGTTGGCTGCATTTTTATCTCGTGTGCAGGGTCCTCTTCCAGGCTCACTGTAGTTCCTGACAAAATGTATTTTCTGTGGTTGTAAGTCTGAGATCCCTATTTCTTGTCCAGCATGTGCTTCCTGAAGCCTCCTGCCTTCTTTTTATGTGGCCTTCTCCATTGTCAGACCAATAACAGTGCATTGCATTCATCTCATGCTTGACTCTGATTTTGTCTTCTTTTTTAAAAAATATATTTTATTGATTATGCCATTACAGTTGTTCTATTCCCCCCCTTCATTACCCTCCACCCTGCACACCCCCTCCCTCACCATTCCCCCCCCCTTTAATTTATGACCACGTGTCTTGAATTCTTTAGAGTCTATATTTCCCATACTATTCTTGCCCTCCCCCCTATCTATTTTCTACTTGCCATCTATGCTACTTATTTTCTGTACCTTCTCCCCCCTTCTTTTCCCACTCCCCTGTTGCTAACCCTCCATGTGATCTTCATTTCTATGGTTCTCCTGATCTAGCTGTCCTCTTAGTTTTCTTTTGTTCTAGGTGTGGTTGTTAATAACTGTGAGTTTGTTGTCCTTCCACTGTTCATCTTTTTTATCTTCTTTTTCTTAGGTAAGTCCCTTTAACATTTCATATAATAAGGGCTTGGTGATGATGAACTCCTTAAATTTGATCTTATCTGAGAAGCACTTTATCTGTCCTTCCATTCTAAATGAAAACTTTGCTGGACAGAGCAGTCTTGGTTGTTGGCCTTTGGATTTCATGACTTGGAATACCTCTTTCCATCCCCTTCTTGCCTGAAAGGTCTCTTTTGAGAAATCTGCTGACAGTCTGATGGGAGCTCCTTTGTAGGTGACTGTCCCCTTAGCTCTTGCTGCTTCTAGGATTCTCTCCTTCATTTTAATCTTGGCTAATGTAATTATGATGTGCCTTTGTGTGTTCCTTCTTGGGTCCAACTTCTTTGGGACTCTCTGAGCTTCCTGGATTTCCTGGAAGTCTATTTCCTTTGCCAGATTGGGGAAGTTCTCCTTTATTGTTTGTTCAAATAAGTTTTCCACTTGTTGCTCTTCCTCTTCCCCTTCTGGTACCCTATAAGTCGGATGTTGGGACATTTAAAGATATTCTGGAGGTTCCTAAGCCTCTCCTCATTTTTTTGAATTCTTGTTTCTTCATCCTTTTCTGTTTGGCCATTTTTTTCTTCCTTAAAATCAACCAGTTCTGTGAGCATCCTGATCACCAGTGTTTTGAACTGTGCATCTGAAAGTTTGGCTATTTCTTTGTCACTTAGAGTTATGGGCTCTGGGGCTTTGAGTTCTTGAGCCATGATGATTTGGTCTGTTCGCGCCTGTTACGTATGAGGAGTGGAGCCTTAGGTGTTCACCATGACGGGGCCACCCAGGTCACTGGGTTGTGACTCTGTATGTGGGGGCAGGGTCAGAGAGGGACAGTGGCGGTCCCCTCTGCTGCTTCCTGCTGCTGGGGCCTGCGAGGTCTGTCTCACTGCTCGCTCCTTCACCAGTTTATCTGCACGTGAATGTGTGACCACAGTCAGCCTTCAGTGGGTCCGCCCGCTGCTATTCCACACCTGGGATCCACCCACGGCTACCTGCGTGCCTGGGTCCACGGGCCCTGGTGGGTCTGGTGGATCTTTCCTGCCCAACCCCGCTCTGCTGCTGGCTCTGCCCCTCTTAACAGTTTGGCTGAATGGTTCGTTGTTGTCAGACTTCCGTATAGTTCAATTTTCTGTGGTTTTGCTGCGTTTTTGTTGCTAAAACTTTGTTGTTTTTAAACTTGGTTGTGCGAGAAGGCCAGTGTTTCCACCTACACCTCCATCATGGCAGAAGTCCTTGATTTTGTCTTCTTTCGTATTCATTTTTAGACAGGAATTTTAATAATTACAAATTCTTCCATTGTCTTTTTTCTATTTATCTGAATAGTCATCTTAAGTATCTGGCGACCATCATCAGATTTATATTCTCTGCTAACAGAGGGAAAGAGATACAGAATCTATCATCTTGCAGCATCAGGATTTAAAAATAAATCTGGAAGAGCTACCGTACAGTTAACAGCAACCAAAAACACTCAGTTTCAACAAATACCGGTATGTCCTTCTCATTGTAATTTTTTAATTTTGATAAATACATATGAGTTTACAGAATCTACACATGCTCATTTTTTTTTGTAGGCTTCTGATGAAATACTGTTTCACGTTTATCAGCCAAGGGAGCCCATTCCCTTCAAACAGTTATGGAATCCAGGCTTCCAGCCACATTGTTCTGAAGTGGACCTAATAGGATTGGTAGTTTCTGTTGTGAAAAAAAAAGGTAATGTACAGCGTATTTAGTTCTAGCTTTTTAAAAACATTGTCTTTTAAAATTTGTCTTAGGATTAATCGGAACCACAAATCAGCAAATTCGGTAACTAGTGATTTGAAAATAAGCCTGTTTTAACCTTGATTCTTAATGTAAATCAATTGTACAGTATTACAAGGGAAGGATTTACATCCCATTCCAACTACTTAGTTTTATTAAAGAAATTGCTAGAAAATTTTCCACAGGGTTTACTATTAGATAATCACTAATTATCTAATAGTGGTTACTATTAGATAATTATAATTTTTCTGTGCAGTTAACTGTACATTTAGGCCTCTGTCTCCAGCTTTGATTTTTGTTTTTCTTTTTCTCTTTGCAGTATCTCTTATTATCCCTAATGATATCTATTCATTGTTCTAAAGCCTACTTTTTAAAATACAGCTACTCCAGTATTTATCATTGGTGTTGGTTTGGATGGTATAGAATTTTTTGTTCCTTAATTTTTAACTTACCAATATTTTTATATTCAAAATTTGTTTTTGCTAGTTAGCATGTTGGGTCTTGCCTTACCCAATCTGACAATCTGTATCCTTTAACTGGTTTGATCTAAGCATTTTTAATGTGATTATTAGTATTGGTGGATTTAAATTTTTCACCTTGCTGGCTGTTTTCTATTTGTCTAATCAGTTCTTCATGTAGGAGAGCAATTCTTGTGATATTTCTACATATATGGTAGTAGCCATTGTCTCAGAATGAATAAAACATTCTTTTAATGAATGTTTGTATAGCAAAAAGGCCTGGGAAGCAGATTCCTCTCCTATGCAGAAAGTTTGATCACTTTCCTCTGAATTTTTGTTTCTGATTCTGTTTGGGTTTTTGTTGTTGTTTTATTTTATTTATTTATTTATTTATTTATTTATTTATTTATTTTGAGATTCCACATATAAGTGAGATCATGCAATACTGGTCTTTCTCTGTCCAACTTATTTCACTTAGCATAATGCCCTTAAGGTCTATCTGTTGTTGCAAATGGCAGGATTTCCTTTTCTATGGGTGAATAATATTCCCTTATATATACCACATTTTTTTTAACTGTTCCCCTATTCACAGACACTTAGGTTATTCCCTGTCTTGGCTGCTGTGCACAATGCTGCAGTGAACAAGGGAGGGCAGATATCCTTTAAACATATTGGTTTTGTTTCCTTTGGATATATACCCAGAAATGGAAATGGTGGGTCATACAGTAGTTCTATTTTTAATTTTTTAAGGAATAAATAATTTCAAATAACTAAGAAATAGCCATGGTTGATGTGGCTCAGTAGATGGAATGGTGGACTTCAAACCGAAGGTTGCTGGTTCAGTTCCCAGTCAGGGCACATGCCTGGGTTGTGGGCCAGGTCCCCAGTAGGGGGCATGAGAGAGGCAGCTGATCGAAGTATCTCTCGCATGTCAATGTTCCTCTGTTTCTCTTTCGCCCTCCCTTCCCCACTCTCCAAAAATAAGTAGATAGAAATGTGGTGGTTGTTTGTTTTTAAGAAAATAAATAACCTTTGCTGTGTCAGCTTCAGTTTTTACTACTCTCAACATCTCAGCCAAGTACATCTATATTTTATTCCTTAAATATGACATTGCACACTCCTTTTTCCTTATCTCTTTCCCTATATTCTATCCATAAAGTCCAACTTTTGTCTCCCTAAGTACTAGGAAGTGTCAAAACCAGCTGAGGTCTGAGTTTATGCACAAAGACTTCTATTTATTGATGATTTTGTGCCTAGCATCCCAGTCTTCTCCCCTGGCAGTTTGTTCTTCACTCTGCTTCAACTATGTTGATGTCTTCCTTGCTATTCTTGGGCCCACTGAGCTCGCTTTCATCACAGAGCCTTTATACTCACTGTCGTTCCTTCCAGAAGCTTCTCCCCAACAGCCACATGGCTGGCTCCTTTTGCTCTTTCAAGTCGCTGGTGAAATGCAGCCTTCTAAATGGCCTTTCCCTGACCACCATTTGTAAAAGAGCAGTACTCTCTTCCCTCCCCAACTTAACTTTAAATTCTCCATAGCACTGAGCAGCACCTGACAATATGTTTGTTTTTTTGTCTCCCTCTTCCAGAATATTAGCTCTACAAGGACAGAGACTTTGATACTGCTGTATCCTCAGCTCCTAACACCATGCCTAGTCCAGGGTTGGGTCTTAAATATTTGTGGGATTCCTTACTTATCAACTTCCCTGTCATGTTTCTCCCTTCCCCTACTCTTTGGTTAAGATTTAGTGTCCATCTCCTTTTTGAGAAGGCATCATATGTACCATATTCCACAAGTTCTTCATATTTTTTCATGCGTACCTATTACCTCAATTCTGAGACTATATCTTACCTAGGCATAATATTGTGAGATCATGCTTTCTTTCCTTCCCCAGGAACTTTGTGCAAATTACTCTTTGGAATTGAACAATCTAGAACTGGAATAATTTTCCGCCCATTTAGTCATTTTTTTTCAGTCTAGATATCTAAAGAAAAGAATGTTTTCTTTTGTACTCCAAAAGCTTGACTAAACTGTGTCTTAGCGAAAGCATTCTGGACACAATTCTTCTGGGACACAGGATGCTCTTTTGGTCTGCAGACTTGGTGCTTTCTTTATTTCATGGGTATTCTGTAATTTCTTTGAACATGTCTGCTGTCCATTTATTCGGATTTCAATTTCAAGGATACCAGTTAGTCTTATGTTGCATTATTTTTGTTTTTGTTTTTACCTATTCTCTGATTTTTTTATTTTCATTCACCATTATTATATCTAGCCTTTATGTTCATACTTTTATTTTCTGCAATATGTTTTATTTCTTGCTATTTCTAATACATGTATCTGACCCATTGTGATCATATATGGTGTCCTCAATTTACTTCTTTGGTCCTGCAATCTCTGTGTCTTACAGGGCTACTTATCCCGTGTTCAAGCTTTTATTTTCTCAAGTACATGTTCCTACTAAGTTCAATAGCATGAATCGCTTTGAAGAATTTAGAAGCCGTCTCTTTTTCTTTCAGTTTTGTTTTCTTATGGGTTGTGCTTTTTTTCTGTGTTCTTTTCTCCTTTTTTTAATGAGTTTTCTTTGGTAAGTTGTGTTTCAGTGCTTTGTGAGTTTTCTTTGACTCTAGTGTGTTAATATGCTACATTATTTACATAGCATTTCATTTGATCTTAATCAGACTTGATAACTTTTCCCACACCTTCCGCACATTCTTTTGTAAATGCTGGGTGAGTAGCAATAAATGAGAAGGGAAAAATCCCTGCCCTCGTGGAGCTTATGTTATAGGAGGGAAGGAGAGATTATAAATAAATAAGTACATTTATACTTTTCTTAGTAACTGCTAAGAAAAAAATGAGGTAGGGAACGACAGGTACTAAGTATCAGGGAGTAGGTGAGAGAAATATAACTTTAGATAGGGATGGGAAGAAAGACCTCACTCTAGAGTTGACATTTGAGTGAGACTTGAAGAAACAGAGAGAGGGAGGCATGCGGACATCTGGAGGAGGACAGGTCCAGGCAGAAGAAATTGTCATGACACAGCAGGATCCTCTCTGGTGGCCTGAAGCATGGGCAGAGGCCAGGGAATGAGTAATCACAGCCAGGGTAGAGGCACTGAAGGACCAGACGACATCGTGGGCCTTGTATAGAAGTCAACTCAAGTTCTAAAGGTGATGGGAGGACTTCCAGCCCAGATGAAGGTGTAGGTGGAAACACTGTGCCTCCTCACACAACCAAGTTTAAAGACAACAAAGTTTTCCTAACAAAAACACAACCAAAACACAGAAAATTTAACTGTACAGAAGACCGACAACAACAAAGCATTCAGCCAGACTGGAGAGGGGCGGAGCCAGCGGCTAGTGGAGCGGGGTCGTGCAGAAAAAGGTGGCCAGACAAACTCAGGCACGCAGGCAGTGGTTGGCAGATCCCAGGCATGGGGTGGCAATAGGAAGACCCACAAGGCGGCACAAGGAGGGCACAAGGCGGCTGGCTGACTGTGATCACACATTCATGCACAGATAAACCAGTCAAAGGAGCGAGCAGTGAGACAGACTTTGCAGGCTAGGGCCCCAGCGATGGGAATTAAAGCCTAAAAGCACCAATTGGAAAAAGCACCAATCTGGGCACTTTTGGGGTCAAGGTGCCCAGAGAAGCTTCCAGGCTCACAGAGAGTTCATTGGAGAGACCCACAGGGTCCTGGAGGGTGCACAGGTCAACACACCCGGGAGCCGGCACCAGGGGGGCCAGGTTTGCTTTCGGGAAGCAGCAGAGGGGACTGAAATCCGAGAGAGAGCAGAACAAACGCCATTACCCCTCTCTAACCCTGCTCCCACATACAGCGTCACAACCCAGTGACTGGGTCGCCCCACCCTGGTGAACACCTAAGGCTCCGCACCATCATATGTAACAGGTTTGAACAGACCAAAACATTATGGCTCAACAAGAACAGCTCAAAGCCCTAGAGCCAATACATCTAAGCAACCAAGAGACAGCCAACCTATGAGATGCACAGTTCAAAACACTGGTGATCAGGATGCTCACGAACTGGTTGATTTTAGTCACAAATTAGAGGAACAAATGAAGGCTAAACTAAGTGAAACAAAAGGAAATGCACAGGGAACCAATAGTGATGGAAAGGAAACTGGGACTCAAATCAAGGGAGTGGATCAGAAGGAAGAAATAAATGACCAAACAGAAAAGTATGAAGAAACAAGAATTCAAAAAAATGAGGAGAGGTTTAGGAACCTTCAGGACATCTTTAAACGTTCCAACATCTGAATTATAGGGGTACCAGAAGGGGAAGAGGAAGAGCAACAAGTGGAAAACTTATTTGAACAAACAATAAAGGAGAACTTCCCCAATCTGGCAAAGGAAATAGACTTCCAGGAAGTCCAGGAAGCTCAGAGAGTCCCAAAGAAGTTGGACCCAAGAAGGAACACACCAAGGCACATCATCATTACATTAGCCAAGATTCAAATGAAGGAGAGAATCCTAG